AAACAGTTTAAATTCCATCAGTTCTGCCTAAAAACAGTTTAAATTCCATCAGTTCTGCCTAAAAACAGTTTAAATTCCATCAGTTCTGCCTAAAAACAGTTTAAATTCCATCAGTTCTGCCTAAAAACAGTTTAAATTCCATCAGTTCTGCCTAAAAACAGTTTAAATTCCATCAGTTCTGCCTAAAAACAGTTTAAATTCCATCAGTTCTGCCTAAAAACAGTTTAAATTCCATCAGTTCTGCCTAAAAACAGTTTAAATTCCATCAGTTCTGCCTAAAAACAGTTTAAATTCCATCAGTTCTGCCTAAAAACAGTTTAAATTCCATCAGTTCTGCCTAAAAACAGTTTAAATTCCATCAGTTCTGCCTAAAAACAGTTTAAATTCCATCAGTTCTGCCTAAAAACAGTTTAAATTCCATCAGTTCTGCCTAAAAACAGTTTAAATTCCATCAGTTCTGCCTAAAAACAGTTTAAATTCCATCAGTTCTGCCTAAAAACAGTTTAAATTCCATCAGTTCTGCCTAAAAACAGTTTAAATTCCATCAGTTCTGCCTAAAAACAGTTTAAATTCCATCAGTTCTGCCTAAAAACAGTTTAAATTCCATCAGTTCTGCCTAAAAACAGTTTAAATTCCATCAGTTCTGCCTAAAAACAGTTTAAATTCCATCAGTTCTGCCTAAAAACAGTTTAAATTCCATCAGTTCTGCCTAAAAACAGTTTAAATTCCATCAGTTCTGCCTAAAAACAGTTTAAATTCCATCAGTTCTGCCTAAAAACAGTTTAAATTCCATCAGTTCTGCCTAAAAACAGTTTAAATTCCATCAGTTCTGCCTAAAAACAGTTTAAATTCCATCAGTTCTGCCTAAAAACAGTTTAAATTCCATCAGTTCTGCCTAAAAACAGTTTAAATTCCATCAGTTCTGCCTAAAAACAGTTTAAATTCCATCAGTTCTGCCTAAAAACAGTTTAAATTCCATCAGTTCTGCCTAAAAACAGTTTAAATTCCATCAGTTCTGCCTAAAAACAGTTTAAATTCCATCAGTTCTGCCTAAAAACAGTTTAAATTCCATCAGTTCTGCCTAAAAACAGTTTAAATTCCATCAGTTCTGCCTAAAAACAGTTTAAATTCCATCAGTTCTGCCTAAAAACAGTTTAAATTCCATCAGTTCTGCCTAAAAACAGTTTAAATTCCATCAGTTCTGCCTAAAAACAGTTTAAATTCCATCAGTTCTGCCTAAAAACAGTTTAAATTCCATCAGTTCTGCCTAAAAACAGTTTAAATTCCATCAGTTCTGCCTAAAAACAGTTTAAATTCCATCAGTTCTGCCTAAAAACAGTTTAAATTCCATCAGTTCTGCCTAAAAACAGTTTAAATTCCATCAGTTCTGCCTAAAAACAGTTTAAATTCCATCAGTTCTGCCTAAAAACAGTTTAAATTCCATCAGTTCTGCCTAAAAACAGTTTAAATTCCATCAGTTCTGCCTAAAAACAGTTTAAATTCCATCAGTTCTGCCTAAAAACAGTTTAAATTCCATCAGTTCTGCCTAAAAACAGTTTAAATTCCATCAGTTCTGCCTAAAAACAGTTTAAATTCCATCAGTTCTGCCTAAAAACAGTTTAAATTCCATCAGTTCTGCCTAAAAACAGTTTAAATTCCATCAGTTCTGCCTAAAAACAGTTTAAATTCCATCAGTTCTGCCTAAAAACAGTTTAAATTCCATCAGTTCTGCCTAAAAACAGTTTAAATTCCATCAGTTCTGCCTAAAAACAGTTTAAATTCCATCAGTTCTGCCTAAAAACAGTTTAAATTCCATCAGTTCTGCCTAAAAACAGTTTAAATTCCATCAGTTCTGCCTAAAAACAGTTTAAATTCCATCAGTTCTGCCTAAAAACAGTTTAAATTCCATCAGTTCTGCCTAAAAACAGTTTAAATTCCATCAGTTCTGCCTAAAAACAGTTTAAATTCCATCAGTTCTGCCTAAAAACAGTTTAAATTCCATCAGTTCTGCCTAAAAACAGTTTAAATTCCATCAGTTCTGCCTAAAAACAGTTTAAATTCCATCAGTTCTGCCTAAAAACAGTTTAAATTCCATCAGTTCTGCCTAAAAACAGTTTAAATTCCATCAGTTCTGCCTAAAAACAGTTTAAATTCCATCAGTTCTGCCTAAAAACAGTTTAAATTCCATCAGTTCTGCCTAAAAACAGTTTAAATTCCATCAGTTCTGCCTAAAAACAGTTTAAATTCCATCAGTTCTGCCTAAAAACAGTTTAAATTCCATCAGTTCTGCCTAAAAACAGTTTAAATTCCATCAGTTCTGCCTGAAACAGTTTAAATTCCATCAACCATTCTGGCCAGAACAGCCTTTTTATACTGAGATAAATTGTTAAAGTCCTCACCCGTCTGAGGCAAGAAAAGAACTTACTTGGGAGATATTCCTCACCCAAATTCACAATCGTTTGTTTGCAGAAATCAGTAACTTGGGGCGCAAGTTATCTACTCCAAACTAAGTCTGCTAGAATTTTTATTGCTAGCAGTGGCACGCTCGCACACCAAAGAAAGCTGACTTGTCGACCAGTTTATGGTTCTCAAGGCAGTGAGGAACTTTGCCTTTCCATCACAGGAGTGAACGCCAAACGGGCAAACACTTATAAATTATAAACAATAAATCATTCGAATTCATAATACGTACAAAAAATAGAATATACATCACATATATAAAGAATTATATTACCTATTGGTTGCAATCATAATTGTCATCGACAAAGGGATAGACAAATACATACAAACCAAGGAAAATTGCAAGAAATAGACAAATACATACTTGCAGTTGAGTAGCGACTTAGCAAATATCTTTAAAGCTTTTCCCCCATAAAACTCAATGGAAAGAAGAAAAAAAAGACACAATTTCATGAACTAGCCTGTTTGATAACCAATTCAATTTTAGTTTTTGGTTTTCATTTTGTGTTAAAGTACATAGGAAAAAATATGGAGAATGAGGGTGAGAATGATAGTGAAGATGGAATTGAGAGGGAAGATGAGAGGGGAGAATGGGAGAGAGGAGTAATAAAAGTGAAAATAAAAAATAAAAAATAAAATCTATTTGAAATTATTTTCACTTTTGTTACTCCTCCCTCCCATCCTTCCCTCTTATCCTCTATCTCAATCTCATCCTCACTCTCATTTTGTTCTATACTCTAGCACAAAAAATATAAACTAAAAACTAAAATTGAAATTGTTATGAAACGGACCCTAAGAAAAACCATAAATGGAGAGAAATATAGTATGAAGTTTAGAGAAAAACTCAAAAACCTAGTTCTAAGAGGAGTGGTGATTTCTATTGCATGTACCATGAAAAGAGGGGTGAAAAAGACTAATTTTAAGGTTTCTGTTAAAAGCGGTAATGTAATTTTAATAGTTATATTAAACTTTTTGGTATTGGGTTTGCAAGTCTTGGAGGAGACGTGGGTTTTCACTAGGTAGGGCCACATGTGGGTACAATATAAAAATACCATATTCATATTGGTTATCCAATTGATGTTGGGAGAAAGTGAAAACGTAAAGTATTTGAAATAATAAATACATAGAAATATATAATAGTATAATATTTTTAAAATACAAAAACAAATTTGAGTGGGGACTTGGGACCACATTGGTCCCAATGCGGCTCTGTGCCTGATGTGGATGTGTGAGTCTTGAAATGTGTACTGTACATCAAAATGAAATTCTTCATGAATGAGTACGAATCTATTGTCTTCACATCTCATTATGTATTTGTTTGACATGTATCCTTCATTTTGGGGTTTTTTTTATTCTTCTTCTTCATTTTCAAATGTAGACCTCCTGAGGTTTGATATAATTACAATCATAGCTCAAATGTTTCATGTTACCGTCACACCCCTTATTTTTAATATATGGTAGGATTAGTGAAGGGTCATGGGGCAAGGCTGTCTTTTCCCCAACACCTATGGCATCAACTCGTCAACCTCCTACCCGTCTCATTATAATTTGTCTAGCTAATTAAGGGTAGACATCGAAACCAGAAAATCGAAACGAACTAGATTAGAAAAACTAGTAAAAAAATAGTGTAAGTGAACAAAAGATAAGTGAGATTATACAATTTCTAATAAAGAGAGTGTAAGTGAACAAAATGGAAGTGGGAAAATCAATTTCCTTATTAAAAAATCAACAAAAGTATATAAATATAAAATAAAATAAACCGAATCGGACTAGTTTCGCATCTCCAAAAACCTAAATTAGACCAGTTGTGTATATATATAATAATAATTTTTTTAAAACATCTCATACAACAGAATTTCAAAGCCCACACACCTTTTCTATTTACTTTTTACTCTCTCTCTCTCTCTCTCTATATTTCCCCTTTTCTTCTCTTCTTCTCCTCTCCTCCCTCTCCGACTTATTTTATTTCTATCTTCCATGTGTTTTTTTTTTTTGAAATAACATAAATAAAACAAAATCGGTTCAAAACAAAAAATCGGTGCGGTTACTACACCATTGGTTTTTCATTTTGGCAAAAACCGAACCGCACCGTAAAATAATTCTAGTTCTAAGGAGAAACCGCACTGCGCCCACCGACATAGCCAAGCCCTCTCCCCTCCCACCCACAACTGCCACCAACTCCTCCTCCTCCCCCCACCATCACCACCAAGTATCTCTCTCTCTCTCTTCCCCCACCCCTGGTTTGAACCCACCCCCCATCAACCCAAAGCATCATCATAAAGCCGGATGCATTTGCTTCCAAACAACATTATGTGACTATGATAAGATGGGCTTTGAATTTTATATTTAAAGAGGTGTTTAAAAGGTTTTTAACAAATGGGCCAGGCCACAAGGCATTAAATATGTCCATATCTTAAAACAATTTGGGTTCGTTTAAGAGCCCAATTTTTTGCATTTCAAATTACTCTCTGATTTGGATTTGGATTTCCTTGCCCAAATTTAAGTGAAGGGGCGGTGACGCAACAAAGCAACACGACGTCGTTTTCGTAAAACTGGCAGCTACATAAATCACCACAACCATATTTAGCCCAGCCGGAATTGAACTTTCGTGAGCTCCACTCTATCTCTCCTCGCTCGTCTTCTTCACCTGAGCGAACGAAAAAGAATCGAAGCAAAGCGACCTAACTCTCAGAGCAACAATGGCAGGCTCCGCCATGGTGTTGGACCCGAAACCCTTACCGGAGCCACCGGCTTCGTTCCCCTCCATTAGATCGGACCTCCAGGCTTCGTCGGAGCAGCACCAGGCCTCCGACGAGGACGATCTCTACAGCCGCCTCAAATCCCTTCAGCGGCAACTCGAGTTCATCGACATCCAGGAGGAGTATGTCAAGGATGAGCAGAAGAACCTGAAGCGCGAGCTCCTTCGTGCCCAAGAAGAGGTCAAGAGGATCCAGTCGGTGCCCCTCGTCATCGGCCAGTTTATGGAGATGGTCGATCAGAACAATGGGATTGTGGGCTCCACCACTGGCTCCAATTACTATGTTAGGATTCTCAGCACCATTAATCGGGAGCTTCTCAAGCCTTCTGCTTCGGTCGCCTTACATCGCCACTCCAATGCCCTTGTCGACGTTCTGCCTCCGGAGGCCGACTCCAGCATTTCGCTCCTTAGCCAGTCTGAGAAGCCCGACGTCACCTATTCTGTAAGTTACGCTCAATTAATTTGAGTAGGGTTATGAAATTTAGGGTTTTTCATGTGTTTCGCCATCTTTCAAGAAACGGTCAATTGGAGTTAATAGACTGCTGGTAGGGTTTTGGGTTTGAGGAATTTAACGGTGTTGAGTGCCATGTGCTTCTTGAGGAGAAGCGTGGCTATAAATTGAACCATTCTGAAAAACTTGTCTTACTAGAGTCATATGAGTGTTTTGAGATTTAATTATCTTTGTTCAATGGTCTTGATGTTAGGAGAAATGGAGTTTAGCCCAAAATTTTACCCGTTGCTCAAGTTTTAAGATTGAGAGCTAACTATATGTATGGACATTATGCTCAACTACTATTGCCTTTACATCCCTAATTATGGATATTTAGGATTTAGAGAGTGTTTTAAAGTAAAATTCGATAGTGGTTCTTTTCCCCACTTGTGAATTTCTGATTTCTAGGTTTCTTATATTGAGCTGGACTGCATATTATATGAATGATCCTATTTGACGGTTATCAAGCTTCAAGCTTCTAACTTGGAAACACGTTTATTTTTCTGTTCTAATTTATTATTCCTTTATTGGAAAGAAGCGGTAATTATTGTTGTCTAAGCTAGTTAGGGCTACTGCTTGTTTCTCAGGATCAACCAATTTGGTTTAGTTCTTGGTTTTAGGGGTTTGTTAGTCAATCCAACCCAACCGGAATGCTATGAAATGTAATATGCATAGATTTTTAAACGAATTTTATGTAATTTTATCATTGGGACATGTAACTTCAAGTATTGGCCCAACCCCACCCTGATTTCGATGTTTAATGGTTGATGTATATTGCCTGTTACAACTATTTTCTTAAATTCACAATTGGGCATCCAATAATCAAATTTATCCAAGAACAACACTAATATAATAGTTTGAAGAGCATGGTCGTCAGACTGGCGCATCACACATTTGTGTTACTTATATTGTATTTGATAGTCATACCTACGTTAGTATTTGATTAAAAGAGAATTATGTAGAAAAGGAAAAAGAATCAAAGAAATGCAGTACTGAGCTGGAATAATGTGGGTTGGCTTGGTTCATATAATTAAGTAGTAGACTAGTACTATGGTTCGGTTGAGATCCCAATTCTCTAAGAACGAACTAAACCGATCTAAGTTGTCTCCATGTAATAGAAGCAGGTTGCTATGGGTTTTTCTGTACCAAATGCAGAGTCAAATTGGTTGTTTGGTGAAGTTTTTATACATTTGACTAATCTGTTTGGCATTTCCCTCCTCTGAGCTAAAAAGCCGTAGGTAGGTTGGATCTTTTCATCATTTAATGATGTCAATGCCTTATCGTTTTTAATTTGTGTTGGTGTGTTAGGATATTGGAGGATGCGATATTCAGAAGCAAGAAATCCGTGAAGCAGTAGAACTGCCACTTACTCACCATGAGTTATACAAACAGATTGGAATAGACCCTCCACGTGGCGTATTGCTCTATGGTCCACCTGGAACTGGTAAAACCATGTTAGCAAAGGCTGTTGCTAATCATACAACTGCTGCCTTCATTAGAGTTGTTGGTTCAGAATTTGTTCAGAAGTATTTGGGTGAGGTGAGATTTTCAGTTAGATTCAATTCTTTTATCTTTTGTACGTAATTTTATTTATTGCATTCCACATATCCTATTATTTTTTGGAATAACAAATTCGGTGAGGCTAGCTAGCGTTGCAAGTGGATTGCAAGTATTTATTTTTTCGGGTTTTGGTGGTTTCCTGTTGCCTGACTCTCTGGGTTTAGATTTATTGACTGACTTTAGAAACATTATGATCACTTATTCTTATTTTCGTTTTGTATATCAAGGGTCCACGAATGGTTCGTGATGTTTTCCGTCTTGCCAAGGAGAATGCACCTGCAATCATTTTTATTGACGAGGTGGATGCTATTGCTACCGCTAGGTTTGATGCTCAAACTGGAGCTGACAGAGAAGTACAGAGAATCCTTATGGAGCTCCTCAATCAGGTAGGAATGCATATTTTGATCTTATTGGGTGAACTAAAACCGTAGTTCAACCAGAACTCGGACCTGTAATGCATCGATTTAGGGTGTGAGAAATATTTCTGTAAATGAAAAAAGAGAAACCCTGCAATACATTCCTTTATTTGTTGCCATTTATCTTAGTTGAGTTGGGAGTCATATTTTTTGCAGATGGATGGTTTCGACCAGACGGTAAATGTTAAGGTCATAATGGCGACTAATCGAGCAGACACATTGGATCCTGCACTTCTTCGTCCTGGAAGGCTTGATAGGAAGATTGAATTTCCTTTGCCTGATAGGAGGCAGAAAAGACTTGTTTTTCAGGTAAGTAACATTCAGAAAGCATCTTTCAATGAATCATTTAGTTTTGGTAAAATGATATTTGTAAGCTGTGAGGTATTCCTTCATTCTCGTCATCATAAGATTTATAACTTCCTCTGTCCATGCCATGTCATCCGTGTTAATGGATTTGTTACTTCCCCGCATGCTCCTTGTTGACAAAACCTGCCATCAGCTCCCTATATCTTCAGTTGTGGACAGCACAGTGGTTGGGCACCCCAAAGCACACTCTATCTGAGTGTATCCTGTGTCTACCTCCTAGAGTGTTTAGTTATTATATGTTTTTTACATGAGCTTTGTTTAAAAAATAAAAAAATAAAAAATCTTTTCTCTTGTAATCATGATGTCTTATTCTTGTCGACTTTTAGCGAGCTGTTGCAAGTAATTTAATGTCAACTTCGCTGCTTGTACTGCAGGTTTGCACTGCTAAAATGAACCTGGGTGATGAGGTGGACTTGGAAGATTATGTATCTCGGCCAGATAAAATCAGTGCTGCTGAGGTGAGACATGAATTTTGTTTCAGTTCTGCTACCATAAGTTAAATCTTTTTACTGTTATGTTTACTTCTTCTCTATGCTTTAATTTTAAATGTTTAATTTATTTTTGGGGGGTGGGGGGCATAAGTGTTAAAATATCTTTACAAATGCAAATCCAGTGCTGTTTTGTCTTTGTCTGAAGTTCTTGGTGAATCATGACATCTTATTTAGAACATTCATGGCATTAGGCTGATAGGTGTTTTATATGGGATGAATCCATATGCCAGGATTGGAGATGGCAACATTGTCAATTGGTTGGATTTAGAAACTATTTATGGTTGCTAACTGGGAACGGATAGGGGATCACCATACAATTTGTTCCAACGGATTTGAATTTTGTCATTTCTGCCTTCATCTATCATATATTTTCTGTCTGCAGCTTTAAAGATACTGAGGCTTTGCTGGTGGTCTCAAATTTTAATTTCTTTAAATATTAAAATTGATCATATACTAACGGTTACAACTGGATGGGTACGTACAGATTTCAGCTATATGTCAAGAAGCGGGAATGCATGCAGTTCGCAAGAACCGGTACGTCATACTCCCGAAGGACTTTGAGAAGGGTTACCAAATCAATGTGAAGAAGCCCGACACTGACTTTGAATTCTACAAATGATCGGTGCTTGAAGCTCATATGATAATGCCGTTGCTCAGGTTGCTGAAGGTCATTATCACGAAAGCCGCATCTGGAGATTAGTTTCTTTGAACAATTATATAGTCCAATGGAGGGGTTGTCTGTTAGGACATTCCAAGTTAATGCGGTGATGTATGATGCTGAGCCATGAAATGGTTTTATTTTCTAAAGATATTTTTCTTGTTGTCTTTTAAATTTCTGGATGCGTTTTAGTTGGAGACTTGTTTAGGGAAACTGTAACAAAGCATACTGAAATTACTTTTCATTCTTACTGTTTGTAGTGATGCACACTTTGCTCGCTTGTTACTTGCTATTCTGTTTCCTACTTTCTCAGCGCAGTTGCTTTACATATCAAGTTTGCCACATTCCCAAATTTTCTGTCAATGGCCTCTGGCCCATTGGGCCATTATCGTGGACACCTATTTGAAGCATGACTGAATTCAGAAAACGAAAGAAGGGATTTAATTAGGGCTTTGTTGTTCCGTCTTCTATATTGATCAAAGTGAGTTTCTGATCTATATTGATTCAGATCGTATTTTCCTTATAGGTCCATCCAATTCCATCATTTGTGTGTTTATGTCTCTCTTCTCAAACTTGGAAATTATTATTAATACGTATGATGTAACTGTAACAAGTCATTCATAAGAATTTCCAAGTTCGGGAAGGTTGACATAAATATGATGGAATTGGATGGACGTATGGGTTAATACTCTCTTGTAAAATCGTAATTGATCTAAACGGATCAATATTCTCTAATTCCGAATTAGAAATGTGCACAAACACACATATTACGTATCAATACTCTCTTCTTTTCCGATTAGAGCTAGCTAGCTCGGTCTTCTATTGTTAGGAGGGAAGACTAAAAAAGGAGGAGACAGGATGTCAAACAGCTTCAAAAAAAAGAAGTTAGTATTTTCCGTCACCCCTTTTGATAGGTCATGATCAATTCATTACCATGGCCCATGGGGACCCATTGTACCCATCTGTTTGTTCAATATAGATCAGAAAATCTTGACCCAAAAAAAGAAAGAAAAAAAAAGAAAAGAGATCAGAAAATTAAATAAGAAATAACTGAGTTGCCAATGAGTATTTGCAAGTCCAATGCAACCCATTGTTCTGTTTTTTTCCTTTTGGAAATAAAATAACTACCCATTATCATTTCTTCATCCTTGTAAGTTTCATGCTACCAACCAATGCTCCTCATACAAATATAAACAAAGCCGAAAGGTCCTACACTACCTAATTTATGGATCGTGTCCTTGATTAGAATAATGATGCTGTAAAGTGGAAACAAAGATCTCATATTTATATTAAATTACAAGGGCCCCTCCATGTGGCTTCAGAAAAAATCAGAATTACAACCAGCAATTAGAAATACTTAATTAATTTCATGGTTTTCTTCTCTTGCATAATTTCTTTTCTAATTTTGGTAAAATTCAAATCCACTATCTTATTATGTTATGGTGAATGAATCTCCCAATACCCTTTTCTTTCTCTCTCTCTCTCTCTTTCAAATGTTGGGTAAAGTTGTATATCTATCTCAAATGTTTGGGGCCACATGTTGCCAATTGTCACAACCCACTTATTAGTAAGTAAGCTCTCACTCTCTCAGTCATGGGCCTCCTGAGAATTACAGTATTTGCCACTACTGTGTGTCATGGCATGGCATCTTTTGAGATCTGGAGCTTCTCATTGATTGCATGCTCAACAACTCTCACCTCTCCCCCTCGTAATAATGTTTCCACTTGATATAGTGTGATTGGTCGGCAATAACAAAACAGTGTTATTTCTGTTCCATATAAGTTTTTCTGTTCTGGCTCTCTCCCATCTTTCACGATCAATCATTTTCCAAGTTGAGAGCTTCAAGATAATATATACGATTTACATTAATTGTACATGATTAGCTTTTAGAACATTAATGGGGTTCTCTATTCTGTTGATCTGATGAACAAATTAATATTAAACTAAATATTCATGTGGCCTTGTCTATTCTGTTGTGTTTTAGTACATTATAAAACACCTTTGAATATTCCATGTAAAACCAACTTGCACCAACATAATAAATACAAATTGGAGCATATATCAGGTTCAGGGTCACACTATTTAATGTAGCTATCCAAAGTCATGCTGTTTTTACCTCTTTACTAACTGAAGTAGTTGTTGTAGACAATATTTTAGGAGATAGATCCATCTAGAAAACTCTTCTTCCTCAGCTAACCCATGAATGACATGGATGTTTAATCATGAAACTTTTGAGAAAAGCTTATACTGAGGCATCATGATGAGAAGAACGGTTAGAACTTCTCATTCATGGATTTCTTATTTTGGGATTATCTAGTAGTTGCAGGGTTAGCTTGCCTTGGAGGATTTAAGCCATGCAGGTACAATTTAATCATGTTTTTTTTTAATATAATCCATTTGAAGTTTTGACTGACCAAAAGTGAAGCGAAAAAAGGACCAAAAAGAAAAAAAAAACTTCCGAATATATACAATGTGATTACAATGTAAACTTGAGAATATAAGTTATTTGCTCACTCTTACTTAAGTTCCAATTTTGAGAAGGTAAAGTGCCCTTTTTCATGTGAGATCAATAATTTTTTGGAATTTTTATACTTGGCATGGGATCTAGATGAGCATGCAGATGATGCAGCAGATCTAAATCTAATAATGGTAGGTTGAGGGTAGTTGGCAATAAAATAAAAAAGGTGTAGGAGTGGTTGGATCAAGCTTTCTCTCTCTCTCTCCAGTCCAACTCTTCCATCAAAATTGTACACTCTACCCAGCCAGTACACACAGCTCATTAGTATATTATTGAAGGGGGTGGGGGGAATCCTCTGTCTCATTAGCTTGAGCATTTGGTCATTTCTTATCTTAGCTCAGCCTCATCATCCTCAACCTCAGAATGACATCAATACATAACCCACCAGATACCAATATGGTTGAGCTTATTAAAAGTTCCCAAAGATGAACCGAAATTGGGTACTAGGGTAGGTTTCAATTTCCAATCTTTTGAAAGTGAACATAAATGGTATTGATGTATGTGTGAATGTGGAGAAAAACTTGTATGTATGTGGGATGCACAAATTGTATCTCAAATTAATCATGCACTGTCATATTAAAAAAAAAACACGTAACAATACTAGAGTTTGTGATTGACTTGAGATACCGCGAGTTGCAATCCCAACTTTAATGCGGTTCAAAATTTTGAAAACTCTTCTGAGTCGGCAGCAGAAAACTTCATTGACTAAAAAGCACCGGTTCCCACAGGGCCATGATGAAGCAAAAAGAAGGGAGCTGCTGCTGCTTGCTGCCACTGGCAATGGAGAGCTGCAGGTTTAGCCTACCAATAAGGGAATTTGAAAATTGAAAGTTGAAATGAAATACCAACTACTTTTTCGGCCACAATGAGCCATACTGATACCCTGAGGGACAACTAAATGATTGAAGCCCAGTCAAGGGTCCTCAACTACAGTGAGCTTCTCCTTTAACAAGCTTGTGTTGACAGCCACACAACAAGAGCATATATCTTTTAGTCTTCTGCTACATGAAAACCAAGAAAATGTGTTTTGGTAAAAAAAAGAAAACTTTCAAATTTCAAAAACCGATAATCACTCATAAATCATACGTATTAAACAAAGTCAAGTTATTTTTTTATTCTTTAGGATTCAAACTTTAATGTGTAAGGTACAACTCATTCCTCTCATTCTTTTGTCACAACAAGACCATCCTGCATTAAACTAATAAGTATCTTTAGTCAAACCCAAAATATTTATTTATTTATTTATAACCAAACCCATAATTCATTGAGTGATGGAATTGCATGCATAATAATAATCTGCATTTTCTTTTTTCTTTTGTTTTTTTGTTGTCAATTTCGTTGTCTTTGGCATGATAGTAATTTGTGCAGAAAACAAAGACTGAAGTCTGAAACTGAAGAATTTAATTGCTGAGGAAAGCAGCCAAAATGTAAACAACAAATAACAACAAACGAGCTTAACCGTAACACTAGACACCTACTAATATATTATATTTTCCGACCAAAAAAAAAAAGATACATAAAATATTGTGTGTGTATATCTAGCCAAAAGAAAACCAGCAAATAACTCTCTCTCTCTCTCTCTCTCTCTCTCAGAGTAGAGTGAGGCTCACAGCTCATACAACAAAGGGCAGTGCAGTCCTCTTCATCTTCCTTTTTCCTCTAATTTATTCATTTTTCTTCTTTGCCCTTTACCTTCTCCTTTTCCTTTTCCACTTTTATAATTCAAACCCAAAAAATTTCTTTTCTTTTTCATCTTCAAAAACCAACTTTCTCTTTCTCTTTTTTTTCTGGTAAGAAATTAGAAATACTATTCCTGCCTGCTTCTCCTAACTCATTTATCAGTTAAAATCATGCTTAATTCCCACCAAATTCTCAAAAGTCTCAGACTTGTTGTCCTTCCTTGTACCCACATTTCTGCTAAGTGCTAACCCAAGAGAAATTTCTAATGCCTGGATCTGAAGCTTTTCACTTCAAGGAAGGAGCTTTACCCTCTGCTATTCAGCTCAGGCAGCCCAGGTCTCACTGCATTCTTTGCTGCAAACTGCAGGTTACCATCTTCACCTTTTTCAATTGCTTACAGATCTGTGTTGTAATTGTTGCCGTTGTAACGAGTGTTTTGGACTCTGACAGTGTCTGGAACTTGAAATTTTCTCTTCTCTCCTTGGATGAATGCCTTAATGCTAGTTCTTAGACTTGATTTCTACTCAACCCATTAAAGCTTTCTCAGTTTTATTCATTCATTATTACTAGAATTAATTTGTTGAATTCGGTCAATGTGCTTGCTTTAGAGTAAACCCAGTTTCTTGTAACGGTTAGATTAGGTTTAATATTGGTAAAGTTCATTTCTTTAACTTCTCCATATTGTTGTTAAACCACTCTGAGCTATCAGTCTGTTATCCATGATTCTGCTCATTTAGTCCTGTTGTATAATAAATTAGTTTATACAGCAGTGTATGAAAGGGGCTTAACCTTTCTCTCTCACTTGTGTATAGTGCATATACATTACTGGACTGAAGGAAATAATAGTTGTAACTCCCAACGGATATGTACCCAATTTTGACTTTACATTGTTTTCTCATTAAAGGTAAAAGGAAGCATGTTTCTTTTTAGTTTTTCTGCTCTAAATTTGCAATCTAGAATCAAGGCAACAGTGAATGGAAGTACATTTCATAATTTGACTATTATCATTATCATTTGGCGTTTACTGTTCTCCCCTGCTATTATGCATGCAAAAAGTTTGTCACTTTTCCTTCTTAATATATGAATGCTTTGCATTATTGGCTACCTGATCTTGATTTGTGGTTTCTGTGCTGAACCAGGAGATTGTGAGCCCTCCAAGGATTACATTTTGATTTCTCTAGTCACTTTCAAAGACTTTAGTCCAAACAACTCCCCATGAAGTCCTGTCCCTTTTCAGTTATTCCTTTCCTTTTTTCCATTGTCATTCTTCTTCCCCTTGTTTTCTCTGACCTGAATTCTGATAAGCAAGCCCTTCTTGACTTTGCTGCTGCTGTTCCCCATCGTCGCAACCTAACTTGGAACCCTGCTTCCCCAGTCTGCACATCCTGGGTTGGCATCACTTGCAATCGAAATGGCACCCGGGTGACTGCCCTCCGACTTCCTGGAGTTGGACTTGTGGGCTCTGTCCCATCAAACACCGTTGGTAGGCTAGATGCCCTTCGGATTCTTAGCCTTCGATCCAATCTCCTCCGTGGTAACCTTCCTTCCGATATTACCTCCCTTCCTGTACTCCAGAATCTATACCTCCAACATAACAACTTCTCTGGTGATATTCCGGCCTCTTTTTCTCTTCAGCTCAATGTTTTGGATCTATCATTTAATTCCTTCACTGGCAACATTCCACGAATATTACATAATTTGACACAACTCACAGGATTGAACCTCCAGAACAACAACCTTTCTGGACCCATACCTGATCTCAACCAACCCGGGCTCAAGCGTCTAAATTTAAGCTACAACCATCTTAATGGCTCTATCCCGTCTTCCCTTCAAAGATTTTCCAATTCATCCTTTGTGGGAAACTCACTTTTATGTGGAGCACCTCTTAAAGCTTGCTCCCTCGTCCTTCCTCCGCCACCTCCTACTCACAATCCACCACCACCAGTAGTTCCTCAGAAACGAAGCTCCAAAAAGAAGCTGAAGTTGGGAGTTATCATTGCGATTGCCGCTGGAGGGTCTGTTCTGCTGCTGCTGTTAGGCCTTATCATAGTTCTCTGGTGTTTAAAGAAAAAAGATAGTGGAGGAACTAGTGTATTGAAAGGAAAGGCTTCTAGTGGTGGAAGGAGTGAGAAGCCTAAGGAGGATTTTGGAAGTGGGGTGCAAGAACCTGAGAAGAACAAACTCGTTTTCTTTGAAGGTTGTTCTTACAATTTTGATCTTGATGATTTGTTGAGGGCTTCTGCTGAAGTGTTGGGAAAGGGGAGTTATGGCACAGCATACAAGGCCGTCTTGGAGGAGGCAACAACAGTGGTAGTCAAAAGGTTGAAGGAAGTGGTCGTTGGGAAGAAGGATTTTGAACAGCAAATGGAGGTTGTGGGAAGAGTTGGACAGCACACAAATGTTGTTCCACTCCGTGCTTATTATTACTCAAAGGATGAGAAGCTTCTAGTTTATGACTACATCTCAAATGGGAGCTTATCTGCTCTTTTGCATGGTATGCATGCCACTGCCACTGCTCTTTATTTAGTTGTTTCCTTCTATTTGATCTCTTTCATGGGGTGGGGGTCCCGGGTTGAGCAGTAAATTGAAGTCAACTTCCTAAATGTCAGTCTGAAGTCATGTTAAACTTTTAAAAATTAATTGATGGAAACAAGGGGATATTGAGGGTGGGGGCAGTAGATAGTCAAGGAGTTTACGCAGAATGTGGTCATTCTTCTGGGTATGTAGACACTCATGAGAATAAACACACTGTGCCTTAATATCTGTAAGTGAGAACTTTATGTGCATATCTAAGAGAGAATGCAGGTAATTACCATGACGAGTTCCATAGTTTCTGTAGAATACTGGTAAAAAACATAACGTTTAAAGAAAGAGTTGTTTCACACTTGGAAGTGTATTAGCTCGTGCACCTAGTCGAGTATCATGTTTGATAATGATGTTGCATTGGGATTTTAGTTATAATTACATGCTTTACAACTTGTATGTTTTTATTCATGAACTATTTTGTTGCAGTTAAGGTGGCTCCCTCCCCCTGCCCCCCTTTTTCTCTTTACAGCTTCTTGTTAGCTTCTTCTATCCTTTACAGAAAGTCCTTGACATGATTTTCATTTTATATGAACGGCTATGTAAGCCTTGTTTTGACCTCATATGCCTAATGGTTTTCTAAGTCTTATCCCATATTGGAGGGGGCAATGCCATACGCCACTCTTCAGTCAGAGTGTTACTGATACTGAAAGCTACCTATTCTTTAATGCCATTTACAAAGAATGCATATTACTTTTCCTGATTGTATTTTTTCTGCTGGGTGGTAAAAAAAATACAAATTTATAAATAAACCCAATCCTAGACATGTATTTATAAACCCAAGCACTATTTAAACATAGAAACACACCCAAAATCAACCCCAAAGTCAACTTTTTGGGTGTGTTTATAAATGGGTTTTGAGTGTGTGTAATGATGGGTTTTGGGTGTGTTTATATGTTTAAATAGTGCTTGGGGTTTTTTATAATTTCAACCCCCATTTTGGTATGGAGATGCATATTAAAAGACCAGTTACTGTTCTTCTGGTTCTCTCCGTTACCAATATAAATACAAAGTATCTATCCCTTTCTTGAGATTGAAACATGCGGAAACTCCAAAATTCAAAACCCTTTAGTTTGCTACTTATTGATATTCAACTTTTTTTGGGTGAGGATTTTTCATTCTTCTTGTAGGACAACCTATTTAGAGTTGCCTTTATAGAAAATTCAGCTGGCTATTGAAGCGTTGTGTTGTGCACCACACTCACTTTTTATTGAATCTGATGGCAGGAAACAGGGGAGGCGGAAGAACTGCATTAGACTGGGACTCCAGGATAAAGATTGCCCTTGGAACTGCAAGAGGAATCGCTCACATCCATTCTATGGGTGGTCCGAAATTCACTCACGGAAATATCAAGTCCACAAATGTCCTCCTCAGCCAAGATCTTGATGGGTGCATCTCTGATGTTGGCCTGACCCCTCTCATGAATGTTCCTGCCACTACTCGGAGTGCGGGCTATCGAGCTCCGGAGGTGATTGAAACCCGCAAGCACTCTCATAAATCAGATGTGTATAGCTTTGGCGTAGTCCTCCTTGAGATGCTGACTGGAAAAGCTCCTCTCCAGTCACCAGGGCGTGATGATATGGTTGATCTCCCTCGGTGGGTCCAGTCTGTTGTCAGGGAGGAATGGACTGCTGAGGTTTTTGATGTTGAGCTGATGAGGTACCAAAACATTGAAGAAGAAATGGTGCAAATGTTGCAAATTGCAATGGCATGCGTGGCAAAGGTGCCAGACATGCGACCTAACATGGAAGAAGTTGTTAGAATGATTGAAGAAATCCGGCAATCCGACTCAGAGAACCGGCCATCTTCCGAAGAGAATAAATCAAAGGACTCAAATGTGCAGACTCCTTGACCACCACCAAAACTTGTTGCTTTTTCCACTCATCAGGTTCTGAGAAATTCATATATTTGTTCCTCTTCTGATTAGGGAAGCATAATAGCACTTTTCCTTTATGTACATGCCTCCTCAGGTTTTCCCAAGCATTATTCAATTACATGCTCGGCTTTGTAGAGTGGGAATCAATCCAATTGTGCCATTTTTCCTAGGTAGTAGTCAGGTGGGTTTTTTTTTAGTTTCTTGATTTGTTGCAATATGTATTTTAACCTAAGGAATTAATTGATGATCTTCATTAATTCAAGAGCTTTCTCTAAATTTTGTGTTATATATCCTAATCCTATAATCACACTTTAATCACTATAGGTTAAGACTATAACAAGTTGATTATGAAAGTTAAATGTGTGCTTGTCATAATTCTGTGACAGCTAATATGGTCAGAAACTGTGGTCTTTTGGTAGAAGAAATTCTGACGGACGTCCACCTCTCTAGACCCTTGAAAGTAGGAGACTATATAAACCTATTTGGGGTGGCATTTCAAGCCTAGCCATCCCAGTTTCCGATATGCCAACTTCAATTTACCGTATATAGATTGTGGTCCTCCTAGAGTTTCCCAACTAAGAAAAACTCTGGTCCATCTCAACACATGAGATATTTCAAAACTCTCGTCACCATTATCGTCGCTGTCCCTCCGTGATCAGGCTAGGAGGTGTGCTAGCTAGAGAGCTCCAACAATGTCAGACGGCTTAGGTTCATCCTTGCCTCCACCTCCTGGCCACAACCAATCGAAGGCCAGCAATGCACGACATGTCGCCTTCTCTGAAACCTCTGCATCATCAGTTCCCAGCAAGGCCCATGATCAAGCCATCCATTTTGTTCCTGACATTGATGATGAGCGCCCTAAACGCTTTCATCCAGGCTGCCACGCCTGCTGCGCATGGGGTTGCTTGTTCTTCTTTGCCTTCATACTGCTTGCTCTCATTGTTGGTTTCATATTCGCGGCCATCTTCCATTCCTATCTGCCTCAAATCCACATCCGAAGGTTCAACGCCACCGCCATCGACTTCGCTCAAGGCAACAAAGATTTGGGCGTGAAGGGAAAAGTTGATTTTCTTGTGGAGTTTTTTAACAAGAATGAGAAAACTGAGCTCAGATATGGTGCCTTCAAGATCACTGCTTCATCTGCGCACGTCCAGCTAGGTAAGACTGAGTTTCCTGAGTTTAGACAGGGCCAAAAAAACACAAAATCTCTGAACGGAACCATCAAGGTTAAACTTTCTGGGGTTGATAAAGAAGACGGCGATCAGCTCAAAACCGACATCAAAAATAGAGAAGTAACTCTGAATTTGGCAATAACCGGCAGTGTTAGCTTCCCTATTGGAGGAGTTTGGTTTAAGAGCATTCCCATCATATCAAACTGCGATGCCAAGCAAAAGGAAGTTGATTTTGGAAACAAGGCCAAATGTGACTATAGGATTATTGCCATAAAGTAAAATCCTCAATGATATCTCTCTCCATCCACGTAGAATATGCTTTAGGACCCAACTTTTTTTTCTCAACTATCTCACATGATCTTGAAATCTATGTACGTACGTGCTGCATGTATTCTATATGAGAGAGAGTTGAGAAAAAATAAAGTCAGGGTTATATAGCGTACGTTGTCTGAGACAGATTCAATGGGCTGCAGGACAATAGCTGCCAATAGTGTTAGATGAGGGAATTGGTTTGAGCCATCATCATAATCATGTCGATTGGATAAAAGGTTTGATTGTTTGTTATTTATCATGTGGAATGTTACAAAGTTTTTCCTTATTTTTTTGCGTGCCTTCCCAACTGCTCCATCTTTCTTTAATGTGGAGAAACTTGTGGAGAATCAATAAACATCTCACGATTTTGAATACTCTTCATAATCAAAATACTCATCATTGCAATCTTTACATGTCTTCAATCGAGATTCAAAGCACACAACAATATGCAGCACTTTCTGTAATAATTTCGTTGCCTAGTTTTTCTTTTCTTTTCCTTTCTAAATTTCATGATTTCCAACCTAGAGTTATGAGATGTCACCATACTAACATCGAAAGGACATGCAAACTAACTAAATTACAATACAATGCACATTCAAAAAAATGTTCACAGGTTTGTACAATTAAGTATGACACTCAACCAACTTGATAAATTATTTAGTTTCATAGTTTCATAACATAGCGTATCATCGCCTTAAGAAAAAAAAATTGTTTCCACATTAAAACAAACAATTTACGCTATTATCAATAGAACCATACAATAAGCCCATTAAAGCAAACTAAATTATTTATCAATTGGCTCTTAGTTTAGCATATGATTTATTTTTTTAAAATTTGGAATAATTTAATTTACTTTAACGCAAAGTCCTGGTTTGAGAGCGTAAAATAATTTTTCCACGTGTTATTGTGTTATTGACTAAGGATAGCAAAACAATGTTATTCCATTATAAATAAGTTTTTTTTGCCATGATTGAGTGGATAAGCCAGAGTTAGGCTGTGGGGTATTGATAGTGGCCCACACATCTAATGGTGGTATTGATAATGGCCCTAGGATGGGTCCAATCTACACCCTACGGTACACGCCCAATAACACAATTGAATAGGGGGCTGAAAATTATAAAAAAATCCAACACTCAAAATACTTTATAAACACACCCAAAACCCATCATTATACACACTCAAAACTCATTTATAAACACACCCAAAAAATATACAATTGTTGATTTTGGGTGTATTTCTATGTTTAAATAGTATTTGAGTTTTTTTATAAATACATGTCTAGAATTGGGTTTATTTATAAATTTGTAAATTGAATACGGGTGGGGCCCACACACTCAGGGACCCGATTGCAAAATTTAACGGAGAATGTGGTCACGGATAAAATTAATGTCTCTCACTCAGGGACTCCGTAGCAAGGACAAAAAAAGGGTGGGGGCGTATGGAGTAGGGATGTTGTAATAAGGACGTGGATCCTACGCCAAGTTGGAATATAAAGATAGAAAATTCTAGAAACAAAGCTTTTTCCTTTTTCTTATTTCTTATCTTTTTATATATAAAAATACAAAATATATTTTGGAATTTTACCCTTCTCAGCCCCTCACGAAGTCTCTGATTCTGTCAAATACAAGCTCACAATCTCCTGGTATTTGCCTTTCTCATCCCATTCTCTGTAATTATTGTTGTTGTTTTGTCATTATTTATATGATCTGGGGTTTCTCTGCTGATCTCGGATCGGCGTCTGTTTTACGAATAGGGTTTGGTTTTGGGAAATTTGGGTGTCGTTTTTGTCTTGTTTAGGCTCACGATCTGGGGTTGATTCGATTGTTTTCTGGGTCTTCAGGTTGTGTTTGTGCGGTTGTGTGTTGCCATGGCGTCAAAACGCATCTTGAAGGAGCTTAAGGATTTGCAGAAAGACCCTCCTACCTCATGCAGTGCTGGTATTTGCTCCTTTCCCTTTTCCACAATCCCTTTCATGGTTTCTGTCTAAGACTGTAAATGTTTATTTTAAATTTGTATTAAGATTGTAGAAAGTATTAATTGCAGCTAATTAACTGGTTAATTTTAAGGCTATCAACCCTTTTCAGCTCACGATGTTTAGTATAAGCACGGCCCTTTTGATCCATTAAAGAGGAAAAAACTGAAAATAATGTTCAAATATTGTGAGTTGTTGAATGGCATATTTGTGGATGGCCCAATTGAGAGCAACACCTCCAATCTGAGGAGGAGGTTGTCTCAGGCTCAAATTCAAACCCCCATCCCCTAATGTTTTAACTGATTGAAGATGGTAGCATATTTGCACTTTAATGAGTTTCCAGTTGTCTCGTGTGCTTGCTAATGCATCTTAGCTTTCTCAGATATGTATATTTTGATCACTATTTATCTTGAGGTTGATATAGAAGCTTTTCTTTGGGTGTACCTTTTAATGGGTTATAGGTCCCGTGGCCGAGGACATGTTCCATTGGCAAGCAACAATTATGGGGCCTGCTGATAGCCCATATGCAGGTGGTGTTTTTCTAGTTTCAATTCATTTCCCTCCAGATTATCCATTCAAGCCTCCAAAGGTACAAAAGAAGCAAAACCTTACCCTTTTGTTTCTATAGAATTTGTAATTGTCTCATTCCTCCATACTATACGATAAATGAAGTATGAGCTGTGTGTGACATAGAATGGCTAAAATGGACACTGCATCAGTGTTTAATAAAAGGGATAAAGTTTTCTGTTATTTAGTTGATGTGCGTAGGTTATTGTATCAATTTGCTCTCTGCAGATTAAATGATAATTCTGTCAATGGCAACCTGTGTATATTATCTCTCTGAAATTGTAATATATGTGAGAACTTAGTGAGAAGTAAGATGCTCCCCCTTCCTCCTTCCCTCCAAAATCAATCTGATTTTGTGGTGGGTTGGCATGGGTGTGTGAACAAGAATGCCCATAGAGTATTTGGTCGTGTATCAGTCTTGATGATTACTTATCTGTGTTGAACATCTATATTAACGTTTTCTTTTATTCAAAATTGATATTTATGTAAATTTAACAAAAGTGATGACGTGTTTCATTGGTGCTCTACCTTTAAATCAAACTTTATAAGGTTATGAGAATTATGCGTTCCCTTAGTTCGTGATATTTGTAGGTGTTGTCTTAGAATGATTTTAGAGTTGCACGATAAAAAGCCGATTCTTGTAAGATCAACTCGCTAAGCGGGCAATTCAATGTTTTGCTTTGTCTTGGTCGTTTTCATGTTTTGAGGTGATTTATTTTTGCACAGTTTATAATGTAGAGGCTAACCAGAGTTACATTTCAGGTTGCATTTAGGACCAAGGTATTCCACCCAAACATTAATAGTAACGGAAGTATATGTCTTGATATTCTTAAAGAACAATGGAGTCCGGCACTTACCATTTCCAAGGTTTGTATAGCTATTTTAGTTTTTTCGTTTGTGATGACAAGAGGTCTTGCTTCAGTCCTCTTATCAGATTAAAATGATATGACCTTTGACTCATCCTAATAGTCCTACTTTTCACTCCCCATCTTGTTGCATCTTCTGACTTGCCATCGGTGGTGTGGCACATGCAACTCTAACAAGATGGGTGTGAGCGTTACACATAGCAACGTAACATGGTATGCCCAAAGTAGGATTAGATGGAGTTAATATTACATCATTTTAATCTGATAAAAGGACAGAAGCCAGCTCCATTACAAGATAGCAGTTAGAAGAACAGCCTATTTGTTTTGATATATAGGTTATAATGGTCATTCAATAAATTTGTGTTCAGGTGCTGTTATCCATA